CCCTTCAACTTTATTTTGCATTTAGTTCATGTAATATATTTCCTCTGTCAGATATCACTATAATGTGATGGATGCAAGACTTTCCCAGCACATCGATAAAGGAACTGAAGATGGTTTGTTCATTAGTTGTGTGGCATCTTGTCAAAATCTTTGGGCACTAATAATGGATGCCGGCACTGGCTTCACTAGTCAAGTGTATGAGCTGTCGCCTTTCTTTCTTCACAAGGTACTTGCACATTGTTGTATTCAAGTTTCTACAATCGATTTATAGATTGTCGAAAATATGTCCATTTATGTGTATATAATATACAATCATTTATGTTTTGCTAAATTCTTTTAAAATTTTTTCGTTTTCTTCTTTTTATTTATGTGATGCAGGAATGGATAATGGAACAGTGGGAGAAGAATTATTACATCAGTGCTGTTGGGGGAGCTGGAAATGGTAGTTCATTAGTTGTAATGTCGAAAGGTAAATTCTGAGACTAAAGCTTGAAATTTTACTTTTATATTTTTAATTATTTTTAATTTTTATTTTTCTTGGGCTGTTAATTTCATTTCAGGCACACAGTACGCTCAACAGTCTTACAAAGTGAGTGATTCATTCCCATTCAAGTGGATAAACAAAAAATGGAGAGAAGGTTTTTACGTGACATCTATGGCCACATCAGGTTCGAGATGGGCCGTTGTCATGTCTCGTACCACTGCATTTTCTGACCAGGTTTTTTTTTTCTTTTTCTTTTTCTCATACAATGGATTCTCCACTTCTTTTCCAAATCGATTTTTTTACTCCTTTCTAAATCGATTTTTTTGAATATAGGTAGTAGAACTGGATTTTCTTTACCCAAGTGAGGGTATTCATAGACGGTGGGACAATGGGTACCGAATAACTGCCACTGCAGCAACTTACGATCAGGCTGCTTTTGTTTTAAGTGTGCCGAGAAGAAAACCAGTCGATGAGGCACAAGAGACACTACGTACTTCTGCCTTTCCCAGTACACATGTCAAGGTTAGTTATGTTTTAGCTGTTGGCATTCTGAAATTGAGTTTCTTTTTTCTTATATGGGTTGATATTAAAGATCACAAGGATAATAATAATTGGATCTTTCTAATAACAAGGATAATACCTTTGGGGTATCTCAAAAGAATTCAGAAGTTTCAAAGTTGCAGAAAAAGCCCCTTGAGGTTTCAGTCCATTGTGTATTTTTCCTCTCGTAAGTTAAAAATCATTTCAAAGATTTTATAAGAATCTGTATTAAAAAAAATAAATGAATAAATAAAATAATAATAATGTTGGAATGTCTTTGGGTTTATTTGTATTTAATTCAAACCTTTCATGGCTGGCTAGATTTTGTAACTACTGCTGGAATATATCCTTGAGCTATTTAAATAAAATAATATTATTGTTTGAATTTGCAAGTATGTATGTTACTAGGTTTTATTGGAGACAAGTTGCTCTTTTGATTGCAGCTTTTGTGAACTAAATGGAGATTGCAATTCGCAATGTCCTGATGTGGAAATACAAGTATTTTTTTCCAAAAAAATTAAATAAGAAAAGGAAAGAAAAAAACTTGGTACTGTTAGTAAAGGCTGAACTCGCATTTTTTTTTTCAGGAGAAGTGGGCGAAGAATCTATACTTAGCATCAGTATGCTATGGCCGCACCGTTTCTTAGTGCTTTTTTCCGGCTTATTAACTTCCGGAATCTTCTTAGTGGTGAAAGACAAACTGATGATGTGTTCATGTTTCATGAATTATAAGCTTATTGCAGTTTGTAGGGGAAGTTCATAAAGCAATATGTTCTCCCATTGTGTGCATTATTTGGATGGTGGCCTTCAGAATGTATGCTTTTTATGCCTAATGCTGACTTGAAGNGACAGGTGTTTTTAGATGTATGTCACTAGTGACCTCAGTTTTTCTGTAGTGTGCCCTGTATTGGAGTCTAACCTGTTTGTTTGTCTTATGTGCTGGTTTGGGAAAGTCCATTTATCTAAAGGATTTTTCCAATCATTTACTTTTAGGGCTCGTTTACTTTGAGGGATGGGATAAGATTAAATAATCGGGTTACCTTTACATGTCAGCATTTAGTCCCATGTTTACTTTGAGGGATGTGATAAGACTATGGTGTGTTTAGTAATTAAATCAACTTTGAGGGGTACAATGGTCCATTTGCATCCAGTTTTGAGGACAAAAAAGTCTTTAACAGTGCATGATTAATTAATCACCTCTTCTTGGTGGGACAGTGGGATGAAAATAATCGGCCAACACATTATTTCAACGTGGGTCCTGCCGCCACATGTGATTCCAACTCATATAATCCTATCCCAATAAATTAATTATTAATGTAAACAAGGGATATTGAGGGATAATTCATCTTATCAATCTAATCTCTCAAAGTAAACGAGCCCTTATAGAATGGACTTTTGTAAGAGACTTTTAAATTATCCATAAGTCTATCTTTAATTTACCACCAAACATAAATATTTACCTAAATGGACTTTGGACTCAAATGTCTGTTTGAGAAGTGTTTCTCAAATGGATGCAAAATGATAAAATATTAAGTGGAAAAATGCATGGTTTATTAAAACCGGGAAACAACTCTTCTGAACCTTCCTAAGAGAATGAATGATTTAATTTATTCAACCTGAAAATAAGAAGTGAAAAAGGAGATGCTATTCTTCGTTACTTCTCACTGTTCATGTATAGGGCACAATTATCATTAATTCAATGTCTCCTACTAATTAAAAACCAGACATAATATCTGGTCAGAGCAGAGTGTGAGCGGAAATGCATAGAAAATGCCGTCAGATTCATGAACAAATGCACAAGCCCAAGCTAAATTAAGATACAGGCAAATGAACCATTAAGCCTTACACCAAAGGAGCTCGGATATTTATCACTATTATATTAGATTATTAATCACTATTATATAACATCAGATTGGACTTGAGGAAAATTTGGCTCTTAAATAGTTATTATATTTCTTTCTTTGAATGTTCCATTTTATGTTTTGAGCTGACATCTTCAATATTTATTTATTACTTTTCAAAGGTACTATTATTTCTTGTAAAAAAAGAAAGAAAAGAAGCACGGTACTATTGTTTCAAAACCTATTTTTTTAGAATAAAATGTAATATAACTTAACTCGCATGACATAGCCAGGGTGATAGTGGATAAATCACATGAAAGGTATATATATAATTATGAAATTTACGTGTATTAATGCTTAGTTATAAACAAAAACCTATTATTTATGTTTTTTTTAAAGAAAAACATACATACTTAGATTGTAAAATATCATTATATTTTTATTGTTTTCTAACTTAAGAAATTTGAATATAAAACCATACATATTATTGAAAACAGAAGTTTGTCTACCAATATCCTAAGGGGATTTGTCACAATAACATCTAAAATAAGTTCTAGCCTTTTAAAAGAAGAATAAGGTTGCTATTACTTAGTCATACATTTTTTTAATAGATATACATACTTTCAAACTAAAATATCGTACTTTACAAAATAATATAAACCAAAGTTAACATTTTATAGAACAAATATACATTATTATTAAAATAAAAAAAACATGATAGATCGACTTGCCTAACGATTAGATAAATCATCTCATCAACCAGTCCGTGCAAGAAGCTTAATATAATCTCTTTCCAACTTAGTAGGATTTCTATTTATTATATATTTACCTACCTCACAATAAGATACAAGTGTTGTGTTTGTGAAATTGTTTCATTTTCTTGGATGTTTATGAACTGAATAAAATGCAAGTGTTGTGTTTATGATCGTTTCATTTTTTTGGAGGTTTATATGAACTAATGGATGCTTCTTTCAATCATGAGTACAATGCAAGCAAAAACACACGAGGGATGGAGGGAACAAATGCTTTCATGAGAATATATATGTGTCCACATAAAGTTCTGCTGTAAAGCATTAAGCCCACACTTTATATGGTTAATTCCATCATTAATGCTGATAAAAATGACAAATATATCTTCGGATTATTCTCTTACAATAATACATTCTTGATTGAGTCATAAAGGTTAATGGCCCTTCAGATATGTTGACCATTTATATGTAAATCCATGTTTTGTTTTTAAGTTAAAAAGACAAAACACTAAGAACGTGTTTGGATACAAATAAACTGGTTTTTTACATTTTATTTTTATAAATCACAATTAATTTTAAAAAAGTTGGTTTGATTAGTTTTTAGTGGAATATTAAAATAATATCTAAAATAAAATGATTAATGTTGATTTGATGTAAAAATAGAAGTGAGGTGATAGGAAGTTATAGGTAGTTAAAACTACGTGAATGAATGAATAGTAAATTAAAGTTGATGTGATGTATAAAGATGATTGATTGCTATTATTTAATAATATTGAAAATATTGAGAATAATAGAATTGAGTTAAAGTTGATTTAGATTTTGAGCATGAATAGAGTATGAATATTAGTTTATAATCCAATCACCCTCTAAATTATATAGACTTAATTGAATCTAATGTCCAAACATGATGGTGTTCGGTCATGAGTTTGACATCCGTTATTTATACACACTTTTAACAGTCGAGACTACAATTTGTCCGCTTATTGTATCTTATAAGTTTCTGCATTACACTCATAGGACTTTAACTAGAACTGCTATTTGACTGAAGTTGCTCGCATATATAGTTAGGTTCAACTCGTGAAAACTCGAGCTTAGCTCGTTCGTTTACTTAATCAGGCACGAGCTCAAACATGAGCTATTCGGCTAGGCTCGATTTTGCTCAAATAACACCCCTAACATCAGTTACCCCTCTTTGATTGTATTTTTATGTCTACTAAAACTAAATAAATTGATAGGACTACTTATGTTAAATTATCTTAGGCAAGTCACATGAGACTTTAGATCACATAATTATACTTGTCAAGCAAAGATTCAGATTTTAGGATGAAATTCATGCCTTTTAAAATAACAATCTTATCTACCTCTTATTTGTGAGAAAGTACAAATTATCATTTAATTTGAAAAGTATGATTTGTATAAAAATGTAAAAAACCAATTCAATTTTACACAATCCTTTGTACTTGAGAAGTGGTTGGAGCCAGCTTGGGATTCTTATCAACACATATATGGGGATGGGACAGTGATTGGAAAACAGAATCAAAACTTCTAATACCATGCATTTTGATCCCTTTCCTTCACACACACCTTATAATACACAATGACCTTTTTTTATTTGGCTGCTTTTAACACAAGAGTCAAGATGTTAAATCTAGTATTAGCATGAACAATGAACACAATTATGATCTCAATTTAAGAATATAACACAATTATATATGATCCCAATTTAAGACTATCGTTGTCAAGTTAATTTTTCCCATATATTTTATTTTCGTTGGCTACGAATCATCAACAATGCACACGAAGTCCAAATTTTCCTAGATCGACCAATTATAAAATCTCAAAATCGGATATGTTTGGTTCAGTCCACGTTCACGCGACCGGCTCTGAACTCCATTAAATGAATGCGACCGACTCTGAACTCCATTAAACCATCAACGCAACATACAAGCATTGTATTTTATTATTTGGTAGAAAAAAAGTAGAAATAAAGGCTGTAAAATCCCCCTGCTTTCTTTCTGATCACCAATGTGTGACAGAGGAATAAGGGTGTGGTTGGATATGAATTTGATTTGATTTTGATTTGTTTTACTTGTTAACCAGTTAGTTCTGAAAAGATGGTTGTTAGTGAGATTTTGAGTTTATATTAAAATAATATTTAAAATCAAATAATTAAAGTTGATTTAATGTAAAAGTAGAAGAGAGATGTTGTGAAGTGATGATTAGTTAAAATTACGTGAGTGAATGAATAGTGAATTAAAATTGTGTGATGCGTAAGAATGATTGATTAGTAATATTAATTATATTGATAATATTGAATATAGTAGGATTGCGTTAAAAAAAGTGATTGAATTAAAAATGATTGATTTTTCCAATCAAATCCATATCCAATCTCACCTTAAAGAATTTATCTATTCAGCAACACTTAATCCATGTCCTTTAGGGCCTGATTGGATACAAATCTCTCTAATTATGACTGACTAGATAATATTTTAAATCAAAATTCAACTCAAATTTAACTTAACCAACCAATCCTTAATATTATCAATATAATTAAATAATATCAATCAATAACTGTCACACATTGCATCAACTTTATTTTAGTATTCATCCACTCACATACAACTAACTGTCCATCACTTTCAGTCATCTATCTCCTACTTTTACATTACACAAACTTTAACAATTATATTTTAAATATTATTTCTATACAAACTCAAAATCTCACTCAACCATACTTTTTTAAATTAAGTCACTTTATCCAAGAAATCCAATCAAATTCAGAATAACTTATATCCAATCAAACCATTAGGGGGTGTTTGCTTACAAAATATTTTACCTACATTTAATCCATACTCAAAATCAACTCAACTTAAACTCAACCTCACTATCCTTAATATTATTCATATAATAAAAAAAATACAAACCAATCATTCTTACACATCACATCAATTTTAATTCATTATTCATCAACTCACATAATTTTATTTAACTATCACTTTACATCACATCTCTCATACTTTTACATCAAATCAATTTTAATTATTTTATTATAAATATTATTTCGTATAAACTCAAAATTCAACTAAACAGCTAATCATACACTTTTTTCAAAATTAAGACTGATTAAAAAAATTCATTTTAAGTGGATTAGTTTGTTAACAACAACGCCCTTAATAATCCGCAAGTTGTTTTGGTGGTTTTTTACGGTTTTACTATAAAGCCAATAGTTGCTTCCATGGAAGAGTCAGCCTTCTATATACATCAAATAAACATACTATATTAATAAAATTATATTAATGTTATTTAAGTAATCAGAGAATATGGTAGGTTTACATGTTGTATATAGAAAGTTGACTCCACTATGGAGCCAACTGTTGGTTTCATAGCAAAACCGGATTTTTTATATTGTATATAAGGAAAAAGGGGGGAATTAAAGGACAAAGAAACAAGAAATGGATACGACATGGACCATTTTTATCATATGTCAATCATCATGGGAGCAATTACTTCATTTTTAACTTTTACCTTTTATGTGGTTTTCCATTTTTGGTATGGAAAACAATTGATACTCGATTTGCTGTTACGTGCACTAGGAAAAATTATATTCTTCTCCCACCAAAGTCCCACTCAATATTAGAACATCACATAAATAAATTGAAAGATCGTTTAAAATTGCACGAAAAAATGCAATTAATTGTTAAGTTACTTAAATTGAAATCACCCCCATCACAAGTTATTTGAATTTTGGTACAAGTTGATTTATTTGTCTAATAATGTTTGAATATTTTCATTTCAAGCCCGTTAATGTATAATAGATGTTTAAGATATAGTAATAATCTTCCGATAACTTGGTTACTCATGATTTGTGACTCAATGATTCAGAAATCAATCCAACTCAATTTCGTAATTACGATACTTATAATATGTGAGTGAGCTAGTTATTTTGAAATCAACCCAAATTAATCCCTTAATTCAAATGTTCATGATTTGTGACCTACTGAATTTTCAAATTAATCCATCCCGTAATTTGAATGCTCATAATTTATGACCTAATGATTTTAAAATTAATCCAGCTCAATAATCTGATAAA